GCAATAAGAAAAGTTTGACAATAAACAAATAGTATGCATGCGTGTGTGTTTTAAAGACATGGTAGTGAGTGTGATGTCTTTTTATTGATTTAATGTATTATTAATGCATAATTTAAAAAAATATTAGCGTTCTGCACTCCTTCTCTATATTCTCTATAAGTAGGAAATTTTATGCTCCTCCGTCCGCGCAATTTTCGTAAAAATGGGTACAAAGTTTTGCTTCACGTATTAATATATAGATGAAGTGATTATTGCTCTAAAGTATTTGGTCTGGATTGGCGTAATTGAATCAGCCAGTATTAAGTAGTTAACAGAGTCATGAATCGTAGTCTCAATTTCATTGTAAAACGATTATTCGAATCAAACCGGAATACATGTCCACCTCGCAACGGAAATGGTCAAGATAGGCATCTCTATCATTCTATGGTCTCCTGGTACAAAAAAGCTAAAACTTTTGTATAAACCAGTCTTTTGTATATTAGATTATCTGCTGTTAGTTTACGGATTCGTATATCTATATATATATAAAAATGAATTACTGTTCGTTAGTCTCGCTAAAACTCGAGAACGGCTGGACCGATTTGGCTAATTTTGGTCTTGAATTATTCGTGGAAGTCCAGAGAAGGTTTAAAAGGTGAATAAATATGAAACTCTCGTAATTATATAAAAACAAACAACTTTGTTTTTCCCTTGATGTGTCCCCCGTTGAACGGATTCCTTTTGTTTGTTTAAGTTTATTTTATACAAAAGTTTAAGTCCTTTATTTATCGATTGAGGCATTACGAAGTCTGCCGGGTAGTCTACAATAAAAGAAAAAGGTCACACCCCCGTTAGCTCCTCGCAGCATTGCCGTGGAAAATATTATGAGATTTATATTAAAATTATAATTTGCGTAATTACTCGTGGTAGGACGTCTTGTGAATCCGCACGGGTAGGTTCCACCATCACCTATTTCTGCCGTGAAGCAGTAATGCGTTTGGGCTTGACGGGCGGGGCAGCCGTTGTACTGTATAAAACTGAGACCTTAGAACTCATGTCTCAAGGTTGGTGGCGACATTTACCTTGTAGATGTCTATGGGCTCCGGTAACTACTTAACATAGGTGGGCCGTGGGCTCGTCCACCCACCTAAGCAATAAAAAAAAAGAGATCCAAGCCACAACGTGATGCACAATAAGTCCTATCTGCGAGCCTCCGCCTTCACCAAGCTACCTTTTCATGTCATTCAATCAACGCATGAATTGTTTTCAAATTTTAAAGCAAAAAGTCTGATTCCTGAAAAAAGAAACATTCAATGAAAAGTCATTGACTCCAATCGATATGTTTGTCTGACTTGCTACATACGTAGCAATGAGTACTACGTATGATAGTCATTGACCTTTGGCACAGTTCCGGTACGCGCTGTCAAGTTTACCCTCCTTCAGAGCGAAGAGTTCGTTCACCTCAATGCAGTTTTACAGCGCAGTGGTCACATACTGCAATAAATTATGAGTGATAGGGTCCAGGGTTCTTAGGCCTGCATACACCCCGTCCTGATGCAACCGGTTCAGAAGTAATCGAATGATTGCTTAATGTCGACGGACTGTGGTAATAGGCAGCTGTAGTGCCAGCGTCTTTACCAGTTGAATTCCAGGACTTATGACAATTATATTAGGTTTATAACAGTTATTCTGATGACGTTAGTAAATACGTATCGATTTTAGATTAGTATACAAGGCTATTTTGTTCGAAGAGTGAAAGGAATGAGTTGGCAAATGATTATTTTAGTTTCAATTCGTTAACTAAATTCTTTTGCCTATGCTGATAGCCTTGAGAGGCTATTTCAGCTTCGCCCTAACGTGTAGGTGAGCTCACGGGGCTCAAACCGGAGTGTTGCTAACACTGACCCTAACAAGAGCAGTGCTTCACAGAATCTACCACCGGATTGGAAACGCGACCCACTGAGAAGATCCGACGAGAAACTCAGTGGGCATTAAAGTCTGATTTCATGTAGCGGTATCCTGTGGTGAATCCGACAAACCATTATGAACAAACTGATGTTTATGATCTTCTACCTTAAAAGCCTAAACGAGCTGATACTGTCGTGCCTATTTCTGTCGTGAAGCTGTGACACGTTCCTGTTTGCAAAGCCGTTATTAATTGAAATGGATTCAAAATGGGCAGTTGGATTGAAGTTGAGTGTTCCCAAGCTGGCCGTTATCAGAGCCAGAACTGTCGGGATTTGAATTTATACGCATTATATACAGCGTTGTTATTTGTGTTTGCCCTAGACGAGGTCGACCCATGAATGCGTGACTGACCATTGTCAATACCTCTCCATTCCACAGTTATTATTGCGTTCATGGTAATAAACCTTTCGTAACATAACTTATTTCCGTAAAGCAGTCGTGTATTCAGATTCAATGCGTATTTTATGGTTTCGGACATGTTTGTAATCATAGATTATACACTTAATAATAAAATGAAAATGAAAGTTTTGTTTATTGAAATCGTCAATACGTTGACAGTGTTAACAGTGTTGAAATTGTTTACATTATTCAAGAGTAAAATTGCTGTTTAGTAATCTTTATGCAATAAAAGAGGCCTTGAAGTGTCTGTGGGCCTTTAAATACACGATCGTTTTACGACAAGATATACTATCTAGTATTTAATATAGGGCATAAGGGGTTTGAAATTAGGTAGTTTAATAGGAAATGAAGTGAAGATTGCTACCATAGGTGAATTATGGCGATGCGACAGTAACTACTCCGACTGACAGACAATAACTCTGATTAAAATTTGAACAGGTTAATATGATTCTCTGACCTATTTGAACTGAAGTGTATTATTGTAATAAAAAAAAGTATGACTAAGTCGTGCCAAAGATCAGGGCGTCCACTCAAACCTTTCTGTTAGTTGAAATCTAGGCTAATTGGAGTTCATTTACACACAAAAACATTTCAGAAAGTGGACCAGCTGTGTACTTTTAATAAAACACGTTCTTATTCGTATTGCTGTAAGGTGTAATTTTCTATAACGTTATCGGTAAAGTCCTTGTTTTACTATTGTTTATGACTCTATTGTCATAGCAACGTGTCCACAACACCGACGTCAGTGCGTCCAAGATTTTCCGGACTTCGTAATGACACCCTTTGTAGCGAAAATTATGATTGCGTGACCGACTGTAGCTCTTAGAAGAAAAGTAACTAATGTTTTTGAAGCGAACGTCAATCTTGTTGAAGCGAAGTATGGATTTTGGAAACGCATTTTACCCGAACGTCGGGGGGCTGAGACAGTTCTTTGAACCAGACCCTTTTTTTGGGTACGTACTTAATTACACGTACGGGATAAACCTCTCTTTTAAATCCATAGAGCGGCCCTAAAATATTTACGTAACAAAAATCGCACCCAAAGTGGAATGGTCCAATATTGTACCTTAGATAGAAACAGTAAACAGATGCAGCAGAATTTTTGAGTTGGTCTCTGAAACAAGAGTTGAGCCTATTAGAACTTATTAGAACTAGAGAACTTATCATCTGCTAGAAAAGGATATTATTAGTAACAAACAGTATTTGAAAATAGCAATAGTATTTTAGGTTTTTTTTTTTTTTATGTTTGTTAGTTAAAGGAACCGATAAAATTAATGCAATAATGTGCTTTTTTGAGGTTGATATGTTCCTTTGAGGTTGATATGTTGCTTTAGCTCAAAACTAGTATGAATTACGCTATGACTTTAGCTCTAAACTCTGTCTATGTATGAAAAATAGCCATTTGTTAAATCTAGTCTCACGCTATCTGGTGTACGCTGATGCTTAGATAAAACGCTATCCTGAACGACAATCGTACAAAGTTACATTTCAATCGGTCGAATCTTTTTTTTTATTGCCCTTGTAAGCAGATGAACATACGGCCCACCTGATGGTGAGTGGTTACCGTCGCCCATGGACTTTAGCAATGCCAGAGGCAGAGCCAAGCCGCTGCTTACAGTTAAAGCTTAAGACCGCTAAGTTTGAGAGATTACGGTTGACCCGGAGGTCTGTCCAGTTTTACCAGGGCAGGTGGGTAAGCAAAGGCTTAGTCAGGAAGGTCGAATTGTTCACAAACGCGTAGAGGTCCAATATACAGACAAACATTCGTTTTTACTCACATAGATATTGGAATAAAAATAAAGTAGCTTTAACTGAAGTTGATCAATTTACAACGAAGTCTTGATTAGTTTATTTGTTTCATGATAACTTCCTTAGTCTCGACGGCTTATATATGATACACGAGAACTAAACTGAGCAAAGTTAAAACAATTTAGCCAATTACGTTCAATGAAGATTGTTGAAAAATGAAAATAAATTATAGTGAATAACCTTTTTGATTGTTGTAAGAATCATTATTTGAGCTAAAGTCTTTAACTGGACAGAAATAAGGTCGTAAGCCTTTGGCGTTCAAAATATAGTACTGAATGCGTTATACTGTAAGAAGGTTTTATTAGTGGTAGGACCTCTTGTGAGTCCGCACGGGTAGGTACCACCAACCCGCCTATTTCTGCCGTGAAGCAGTAATGCGTTTCAGTTTGAAGGGTGGGGCAACCGTTATAGCTATACTGAGACTTTAGAACTTATATCTCAAGGTGACGTGAGTGACAACAAAAAGGTGGGTGGCGCATTTACGTTATAGATGTCTATGTGCTCCAGTGGCCACTTAACACTAGGTGCGCTGTGAGCTCGTTCACCCATCTAAGTAATAAAAAAAAGCAACGAGAAAGCGGATTCAAAACTGTAAATGTTGACGAGCAGTTTTTGAAGCCCAATTCAATTCAAAGCACATTGATTATTTATTTGTAGCACGTGTAATAGTAGCTGTTATAGGATTAAAAGTATTTTATAAAAAATACTGAATGGCGAAATAAAAACATTGTCCAGATAGGCTTGAAAACATAAAAAAGTTCCGAAATATTGGATTCGGACTGTCGTTGGAGCAACTTCCCTTTGTCTTAATATCCAAAAATCCAATTTATTTTTAATTTTTTCAGCCCATCATCAGGCTTCCATCAGATGGCTCGTATGATGGACCGTATGATGGTGGAGAGCCTCCAGCCGTTTGGTTTTGCTAGGATGACGGCAAGACAACGTGGTGATACTCGGGATCATCAGCCTCCACGTGATGGTCTACAGACAGAGCGCCCTGACACAAGGAAGGAGCGGGCGAAGAATCATTCTAACACGCATGCCGCCACTGGTACCAGACATCCTCCTACCCAGGGTAAGATTTTGTCAGATCTTCTTCTTCTTCTTCCAGTGCCTCTTCAATCCTGAAGCTTAGCCGTTAGCTTCTTGTATTCATTTCTATCAGCAGCCAGCCGGAACAGCTGTTCGAAGGATGCAATACCGGTCCACTCCCGGACATTCCGGAGCCACGACACCTTTCTTCGCCCAGCACATCTTTTTCCGACCACTTTGCCCATAATTATCAACTGCAGCAGCATGTATCTATCGTTCCTGAGCACGTGGCCGAGATATTCTATCTTGCGCTTTTTGATAGAAGGCAACTTTTCCGGGAAATATGAACGCGCTGAAGCACGGTTTCGTTCCTGACCCTCTGCGTCCAACTAATGCGTAACATGCGACGGTAGCACCACATCTCGAAAGCCTGTAGGCGTCTTGTAGTGTCCTCTTTCAGGGTCCACGTTTCGCAACCATACATGGCGATAGGGCAGATATAGCACATGAGTAGCCTATCAGATCAGTAATGTCTTTTTCTTTACTAGCGTAGATGGGCAGAAGTGACCCATTCGCCTATAGGTTTTGAGGAGCGCCAGTGTCTAATTACGATTATTATGCTTTATGTAAATGCTGTCATGTACCTTGGACAGTTCCATTTGCAACAGTATAATTGTTATAATGACGTAGCATATGTACTATTAAATAGTTAATAGTACATATTCTATTAAGTAGTTAATAGTACTATCGTAATAGTACATATTGCGATACGATTGCCTTGGGGCCTAAGTCCTTTCTAATTATTTTTTTATTGCTTAGATGGGTGGACGAGCTCACAGGCCACCTGGTGTTAAGTGGTTACTGGAGCCCATAGACATCTACAACGTAAATGCGCCACCCACCTTGAGATATAAGTTCTAAGGCCTCAAGTATAGTTCCAACGGCTTCACCCTTCAAACCGAAACGCATTATTGCTAAACGGCAGAAACAGGCAGGGTGGTGGTACCTACCCGCGCGGACTCACAAAAGGTCCTACCACCAGTAAAATTCAAATCAAACTCTCACTTCAAACTTTATCAAACTCTGAAACAAACATTGGTACTATGAAAATTAGCTTCATAATGTCTATATTCGGTTCAGATTAGTTAGATTTACGGGCCTGGCCTCTGTTGATATTTCGATCGATACTGCATTTCATCCAATTTCGAGTTATTTCTTAGAGCATTGCATTTCTAATGAAATACGTACAAGACTTAAAAAATGTTCAGCATTGGCTTTCACGGGGAAGGAATAACATCGTGTAGTAAAAATCAAATCCGCAAAATTATAGTTTGCGTAATTACTGGTGGTCGGACCTCTTGTGAATCCACGGTAGGCAGCGGTAGGCAGCGGCTTGGCTCTGCCCCTGGCATTGCTGAAGTCCATGGGCGACGGTAACCACTCACCATTAGGTGGGCCGTATGCTCGTCTGCCTATAAGGACAATAAAAAAAAAAGAACTGGTAGGTACCACCACCCTGCCTATTTCTGCCGTGAAGCAGTAATACGTTTCGGTTTGAATGGTGGGGCAGCTGTTGTAACTATATCGAGACCTTAGAACTCATATCTCAAGATGGGTGGCGGCATTTATATTGTAGATGTCTATAGGCTCCAGTAACCATTTAACACCAGGTTGGCCGTGAGCTCGTCCACTCACCTAAGCAATAAACAAAATGAAAAAAAAAACATTAGTACCACCTTGTCAGAAGTATTTTACAGTTGAGGCTAGTAGTTGAGGATAACAAAGATGATATAGGATAATATTGAACAGTAAGAGTATTGATTGACATACCTTATTTAAAAGATAGTCTGTTAGTAAAGAAATACGCTATAATAATAGTCACTCGTTGGAGTCGCATACCACTGTTCAATAGCAGTTTTCCTTAATGCCATATCCGTTTCCCTTAGCTCACCGTTTCTTGATAAAAACGAAATCATCTTTTTCAATTTTCAGTAGTGAAACCAACTCAATCGAATACATTTCTAGATCAGTCACAAGAGCAAAATAAACAAACGGACCCCACGACTGAGAAATGGGCGGGATCGTTACGGAAACGCGACCCTGACATCCAGCCGACCTTGCCGTCCATTGTCGCTAGAAAGACCTCTTCATCTTCAGTGGGCAGTGGAAGGAAGACCAGGTCTGTGGAAAGGATGCCCCGACAACGTGTAAGGCAGTTGGCTCCAATTAAACCGATTGTTAGAAAGGCTGAAGCGTCAGAAGGACAAGATGTTACAATTTATGAGAAGGATGAAAAAACATTCGATGCGACTGGCTATGAAATGCATCTAGTGGAGACCCTAGAGAGAGATATATTGCAGAGGAATCCTGATGTGCGCTGGAAGGATGTCATTGGATTGGACGATGCAAAAGCCGTGCTACAAGAGGCGATGGTCCTGCCTTTAGTGATGCCTGATTACTTTAAGGTTAGTTTAAAAAAAAAACAATTTGAATTAATTTACCAAATAGGTATCGAATCGATACTTCGGTATTTTTATAGTCTTGTTTTGTGTTGAAAATTTATCCATTGACTAATTATCATTATCGATTTGAACAAAACGGGTTTAGCATTTTTTGTAATATTGTATTAATTTGCAAAGAAACTTTTTTAAATGGCTGATTATTAATTTCTGCTGTGGAAGGACGTGGGAACTCACCACTAGCAATTTTCCCAAGAAAGCCTTTACGTATGTATTCTGTAAAGGTCACGATCCTCATCACTGAGGAACACGACGCACGGAGGAGGAGGATTAATAAAGTTCAGCTTATGCCTTAGTGGACTTAAAATATGGAGGGGTTTCTGAAATGACACATTACAAACTTCAAAATACTAATAGTGTCTAATGGGGGTAAATCGTATACCACACACTGCAACTTATATAATTAATGTATATTATTTTTTCGGTTTTCGCGAGTTGTATCAATTATTAAAATTACTTTTAGGTTTAAATATCGCGTTTTCTATTGCCATTTTGTTATATCCGACGTTCCAAATATTTTACAGTGGGCACGCACGATTTTAGTGCTATTAGATTTTATATGAAAAAAATACATAAATGCTGCTTTAATTATAATAGTTTATGTCCATTCGTCAGGGTATCCGGAGACCTTGGAAGGGCGTGCTCCTCACAGGACCACCGGGTACAGGGAAGACATTGCTCGCGAGGGCTGTGGCTACAGAGTGCAGAACCACTTTCTTCAATGTATCTTCGGCCACACTCACTTCAAAGTACAGGGGAGATTCTGAGAAATTGGTCAGACTTCTTTTTGACATGGTGAGGCGCTTTAATTAATTTTGATCTAAGCTTTTAGAAGCTCCAAGTCTATTATTATGTATTAACGTAGATGCCCATACAATATGCCCGTCTTTGACGAGCTGACAGTACATAATACTAATAATATATATTTAAAATATACCACAGTCATACAATTAGATCAGCCTTTCCCAAAGTGGGCGATAACGCCCCCTTGTGAGCGCTGCAGGCCTAAAGGTGGGCGTTAAGAGACCCAGAAAAAAAATGGGGCGTTGTGTAGAGGCCTGGGAGGCGATTTTTAATTTCATCTAGGAGGACTCATAGACACCGACGTAGCTCTCGCTATAGTGGTTTTTAAGTAGGTGAAAAAATGGGGACGCTAAAAAATAGTTTATTCTCAAAGTGGGCAGTAGACAAAATAAGTTTGGGAGCCCCTGAACTAAATAGTAATATAGTAACCTGAATACCTTGAGGCGTCAGTTCGAAGTAATCTTATCAAACAAGAAATATCGGAAAATATCAGAATAATCTGGTTTTAAAATAAAAATATGTGTGCAATTTACACGTGTTAGAACCTTCAAAAATTTTGGCTTCAAGTTAATGTGATGAATGTGAAATTTCGGGACGAGGATAATTGTAAGTTTTAGTAACGATCTTAATGATACAAAGTTTGATAATAATGATTTTACATTTTATTCGTATATATTTACATAGATTTATTCGGAATGTATTAAGTACGAATATTAGGTACGAAGCAGAACACAAAGAGAACCACGAATATAAGAAACACTCTGTTATGCTTCCTGTCTCATTTTCTCCCACGTTAAATCTTATGAATTTATGAGTCTTGTCTCTTTTTACTATCGCTTTTTCGTTTATTTACTGGTGGTAGGACCTCTTGTGAGACCGCACGCGTAGGTACCACCACCCTGTCTATTTCTGCCGTGAAGCAGTAATGAGTTTCGGTTTGAAGGGTGGGGCAGCCGTCGTAACTATACTGAGACCTTAGAACTTATATCTCAAGATGGGTGGCGCATTTACGTTGTAGTCTATGGGCTCCAGTAACCACTTAACACCAGGTGGGCTGTGAGATCGTCCCCCATCTAAGAAATAAAAAAAATCATCGACTTTCAAATCACAACGATGTTAAATAAGTTTTCACTTTAAAATAATTTTATATTGTCAGGCGTCTTTCTACGCGCCCAGCACGATCTTCTTGGACGAGGTGGACTCATTGTGCGCGGTCCGCGGTGCTGACTCCGAGCACGAGGCCTCGCGACGATTCAAAGCAGAGCTGCTCATACAAATGGACGGGCTTGCTGCCGTATTGTGAGTCCAATAGATTTTATCATCGGCTATCAGCAATCATCGGCTTGTAAATTGTATTTTAATACGCTTTTATTAGCTTCAGACGTATGTATGTATGTTTATAACGGAATCTTTGAACATGATTTTGACCTCCTTCAAAACGTCGGATTAACTCGAAATTTGGTATACTTGTTAAGGAACAATGACAATTCAATATTTAAAATCGAAAAAAAAATAATTGAAAAAATTGAAATTCAACTAAAAAATGAAAAATAAATAATAGTTTAAAAAAACTAATAAAATACACTTTTATAGAAAATCCTACTAAAAAAATGTGTGCGTGTACTAGTGTACACACGTAAGAAGTGAAACTTGTTTATGGCCTTATTTTTCGAAAAATGATCTACATGCAACTTTCTAGAAATTGGTTAAATAAAGTTAAATTAGATAAAGTTTAAACAAAAGGATTTTATTATCATAGACATGAATACAAAAAAGTTAAATTAGATAAAGTTTAAACAAAAGGATTTTATTATCATAGACATGAATACAAAACAGATGGCGCGTAACGGAAAAATGTGACGCGTAACCGAAAAATGTGACGGTAAATTTTTTTCCAACGCCGATAAGGAAGTTTCACTTCAAAAATAGAAAATAAATTTTAATAAAATTGAATAAAAATAATGTAAGAAAAAAAAATATTGTATAAAAGCGTGGGGTGCTTTTCAGGATATTATCAAAATAACCCTTCTACTCATATCTGTTCATAAAATATATATAACTACTTAAGCCATGCACCCCACGCTTTTTTACAATAAAATCATTTTTTCTTACGCTATTTTTAATTCAAATTTATTAAAATTTCTTTTAAATTTTTTTGGTGGATTTTCTATAAAAGCGTATTTTGTTAGTTTTCTAAACTATTATTTTCTTATTAAAAGCTGATGAGATAAAACAAAATAAAATAGGAAAAGACAAAGTGTCATTTTCTCTCTTTTTGTGAATCGATTTTTTTTAGGTGCGCCAATTGACGATCCTTAGAATACAAACGGTAATAGTAACACATACCCATATTAAAATTTTGCTTAAATAATACTGTATTTTCCGTACCATTATTACGTTGAAAATGGGATGAATCTAAATCTTGTCATGCCAGTGATTATGTTCGTATTTTGAATCATAAAGTGAAAACTAATATTATGTATTATATAACTTATATTAATGATTTATTTGTAACATCTTTTTTAGCAACCAAGATAAAATCATAATGGTATTAGCCGCGACCAACCATCCGTGGGACATCGACGAAGCCTTCAGAAGGAGGTTTGAGAAGAGGATCTACATTGGCCTTCCAGACGGTAAAAATTTAACTCAGTATTATTTGTCTTTGATGAAACGGCTCATGGACTCCATAAGCTAAATGTGTCTGTCGACAAAATTCCAATGGAAATAGAATAACGACTATCACAGCTTATTATTACTTTGCGGCTGAAATAGGCAGGATGGTGGGGCGTATCCTTACCACTACTAGGTATACAAATCTATATATTAATACGTGAAGCAAAAACTTTGTATCCCTTTTTACGAAAATTGCGCGGACGGAGGAGTATGAAATTTTCCACACTTATAGAGAATATAGTGCACAATGCTCATACTTTTTTAAAATAATGCATAAAAGATACATTAAATCAATAAAGAAAACATTACACACACTACATACCATGTATTTGACGCACACACGCATGCATACTGTTTATTGTCAAACTTTTGTTCTTGACGTCTGTTGTCAAATTGAAATTAAATATTGTTTGTCTTTGTTAATATTTTTACAGTGTAGTCTTGGCGAAATTTGTGATTATAGAAGTACAAATTACAATCATAATAGTGTACAAACTTACAATTACAATTAATTATAGTCGAATTTCGACTACTGCGGGACTTCTAGTTAGGATAATTTTGTTAAAGTACCTATCCTAACTCGTTTTAAATTAATCAAGCACACTACTTAATAAATTAACAAGATGAAAATTAGAGAAAGAAGAGAAACAGAAGAAAATCATATAACGTACTGGTGGTAGGACGTCTTGTGAGTCCGCACGGGTATGTACCACCACCCTGCCCATTTCTGCCATGATGCAGTAATGCGTTTCGGCTTGAAGGGCGGGGCAGCCGTTGTATTGTAAAAACTGAGACCTAAGAACCCATGTCTCGTGTGGTGTCTATGGGCTCCGGTAACCACTTATCACCAGGTAGGCCGTGAGCTCGTCCACTCACCTAAACAATAAAAAAAAACCTATTTTTTGTCATCGATAATTTTATACTTCTAATATTAATGCAGAGCCGACGCGTGTGAAACTTCTGAAGCTGTGTCTCCGAGAAGTCGCGCTAGCGGAAGATGTAGATCTAGTGGATCTGGCAACTAAATTGGATGGTTATAGCGGATCTGACATCTGCAACTTGTGCCGGTGAGGTTTGGAACTACTTTTTTCAAAGAATCTAGGTATTGACCCTCGATAGTATTCTGTTAAAATCGAATCTATCGTCGTTTTATTTGTTGTTAGCGGAATCCAGGTATTTAATACGCTTTTATTAGCTTCAGACGGATGTATGTTAGTATGTAACGGAATCTTTGAACATGATTTTGACCCCCTTCAAAATGTCGGATTAACTCGAAATTTGGTATACTTATTAAGGACCGAGAACAATTCAATATTAAAAAAATATATTATATTTAAAAAAAATTAAAAATAAATTAATTGAATAAATTGAAATTCAACTAAAAATAAATAATAGTTTAAAAAACACTAACAAAATACGCTTTTATAGAAAATCCAACTAAAAAATAGAAAATAAATTTAGTTTTTTTAAACTATTATTTATTTTAAAATAGGTGTTAATATACGATCTTGAAATTTTTGTTTTCTAATTCAGGGATGCCGCAATGATGACGATGCGTCGTAAGATAGCCGGTAAGAGTCCGGACCAGATCCGCAGACTGAAGCGCTCCGAGCTGGAGGCGCCGGTGTCGGCGGCCGACCTGGGCGCCTCCGCGGACAAGACGCGGCGCACGGTGAGCCCCGCCGACGTGGCGCGCTACTCCTCCTGGATGCAGCGCCACGGCTGCTCCTAGCGCCGGCCGAGGGCGCTCCGGGCCCTACTAGAGCGACTGCGCAATGCATCTAACTGATCGCTTACTAAGAACCAAACGAACCATTGACAATGACAATCATCTAATTGTTTCTAAAAGTATCTTAAAATATTATTACTTCGGATCATGGACTTACGAGTGTAGTGGCGACGCGCCCCAACTTTTTAGGTACAGATGTGCATCTACGAATTAAATTATTATGTACTGATTAATATCAATAAGACCCCTTACTATATAATAGTATTATAGACATAAAATGATGTCATGGTGGATTCAGAGTGTATTATTACCTATTCCATGAAGCTTTTTTGTGGGTCAATAATAGGAGACATTAAGTGCTTTTGTTTATAAATCATAATGTAAGTTTTGTGTTTTAAATTTGCTGTTTAATTGATCAAAGTCTTAATAGCAGCGCGATTAATTCGAGCCCCAAAAGAATGCTGGTTGCAGAATAAAATTATTACTGAACGACACTAGACTGAATTATTATCCACAAGAACATTAAATCTTAGTTAATATGAACTCTAGATGTTGAACCTAAAGACAGGAATAAATATTAGTTATTAAATCTATTTAAATTGGACACAAACAAGTCTTTAAACATACTATTTGAGTCTTATTTCAAGCTTAGGTTAAACAAAAGCTATATTTTTAGTTTTAAGTTCGTCGCTGATGCGTCCTTTTCTTTCAAACAACTTGTAGAATGGAGTTCAGACTTTGTAAAATATTTAATATAAACTGTACGTTACATTCGTATAGTGATAGTGTGTGTTGAGAGGAGTATGCACATAAACCTGTCGATAGGATTTGAAGTTTGCTTTAATGTAATGCTTGATTTGGTTATTGCTACGAATTACCCTTCTTTGAAATGAACTCAATTTTTATATAAATTTTATGTAGGTATTATAATAACGTTTGTAAAATGATTTAGAGTATTTTATAATATCAAGCAACGAGTGATCGCGATTTGCGATTGATCGATATTTCAAGAAAATTCGAATTGTATAATCGATTTAAAATTTATATCGCGTCTTATGTTATATTGTTTCTGATTTTTATTTGTAATACTACTAAGATTGGAATAAATTTATCAAAAAAAAATTTGATTTCATTGTACAGCTAATTGCTAGTTATTGGACATCTTGACCTTTGACTTTAACATGCTTTCGATTTTATAAGTACAATAAGTTTGATTGTGAATTGGTCGTAGGATCGCAATTATGCTTCGAGTTGCTTGTTCCCTCTTCCACAGCGAATACAAACTATTCCACACTACGAGTATATGTCCACACTGGCCTGCACCTACCTATCTTATATGTATACCAGTAGGCATCTTGATAAATTCCGCTGTGGGTTGAGCTGAGCTGGCTGAGCTAGACGTCTTTTTTTATTGCCCCTCTAGTGATACACTAAATTTTATCTGAAATTAATACTTTAACGTTAAGAGCTAGCAGTCCTCAGCCTTAAGCACTCGTGAACACGTATCGCGAACAAGAAATATGTAATTTAGATCTAAAACAGCATTTATCGTAAAATAGTCACCAAGTGTGCGGTACATTGTAGGTACTTTATATATTTTTTAAATTAGTAGCGAAAATATCGTCATTGAAATTGTCTTCGTAAACAAGAGCCAAAATGTCGGTAGTATGTTGACATGTACACATAATACCTACTATGTTATATCGTATTAAAATTAAATGTGGAACTTTTTTGGAACATAAGAGTTTCATATTCTGATTTTTTAAATTTTTTGCCATTGTTGCCAGACGATCATACGGCCCACCTGATGGTGAGTGTTTACCGTCGTCATGGACTTCAGCAATGCCAGGGGCAGAGCCAAAACCCTGGCTACCGTTAAGTCCTCTCCACAAGCCTCGTTTGAAGAAGGAAATGTCATATATGCTTGTTTTACAGTATCAAGATGCGACGTTCATGGATTCTTAGCTTCGCTCAATTTGATCGATTCGATTGATCGAAGGTTCTTAGTTAATTAAAGTATGAAAATAAAACAATTCTGTCAAATAAAATTCATTTATTCAGGAATGGTGAACATAATTGAGTGTACTCACTGTCTCGATGAAAATATTCATTTATATTTTACGAACAGATAATTAGCGATAATAATTTGTATTGTGCCAGTGAATATATTATTAGAATAGAATTGAACGCATTTCATACAAGTTTTTTAGGAATAACGGAGGCGACATGTTGAAATTGTTATCACAAACACTTCACCGTGAAATGAAATATATTTTGTGTTTTGAAATTAAAATGTATTTAATGTTCTTTGAATGCATTTTATAGCGTATCTATAATTTCAAAAAGATAACAGATGATAATGTAATTTTTTTTGGAAATTTCTTAAAAGTAAGCCATTTTATTTAATTTTCACATGATTTAAATATTAGAACACATCAAAAATATTTTATAAATATAATTTGTACGTTATAACAATGACTTGTGGATAAAATTTATTGCTAAATCATAATTTACATAGTCATACGATGTAGCTAAGTTACCACCGAACGTTTTAATATAATTATTGAATATTAAACTCTTTTATTAATGAAGATAAAGTATAATTTAGGTTCGTCTTCCTGTAACAGTAATTAAACTATGCCGTAGCTAATAGTATCACAACCTGCTAACTGTGATATGACATCAGTGATTGTTTCAATAGTTAAGGCCACAGTTGGTTTGTTTTAGTTTAAAAAAATAAATTTAACAACAAGCCTTATAAAACTTTATATATTCATTTAAAAACACAGCGCTTAGCTCTTTAAACATATATAAAAACTCACTATGAAATAAAATATTATAATTGTTCAAACTTGATGATCTAGAATGCTATACCTAAATTGTTCGCGCGTGTTATCTGTGTAGTAACGAGTTAGTCTGTGGCACGCGCGCGCTGAGGTGCCTAGCTTAAAGGACTTTGTTTCCAAGCCAGTAAAATTTATAAAAAAAAAGGTGCCTTATAAGTAGACATAAATATACAAGAACACGTAGATTGCTGTCCAGTGTCTATTAAACTGGACATACCTGTCCCGTACACCTCAAAGACTAAGCTATAAATAATTGAAGACACGAGTGGGTGAAGAGGTTAAGTACCATTTGTAAGGTTTTTGAGTTTTTACATTGTATGAAGGTGTTATGTACCTATAAACCATATTAGACCTAAACACTCCGGGTTTAAGGGATATTTTTAGAACTTGCATGCTGGAGTTATGTACGAAGAAAAAGTACAGGTAACAAAAGTTTGTTTTGCTCGTTTTCTCAAAATTAACAAATTGTATCATATCCTCTTCATCCACTCATGTCTTCAAATACAATTGAAGTTTTTCTCTGAGATTTCGAGATAAAGGCTTTTTTTTACTTAATGTACGTTTTTATATATTGAACTAAGCTTTTTTTCTAACTAAAGAAAGAAAAAAAGAATAACAATCTAATCGTGCGTTATAATTCCAACTATTAATTACAAATAATATAACATATAATAAAATTTAAAATAAAAAAAACGATTGAAATGATATTTTTTCAGTAAAATATAACAATTTTTACAAACAGAAGACATAGCGGGGAAAGAGTTTGCGTTATTTGAGTTTGAAACGATAATTGTTTCCGTACAAAATACGCGGTCGACCGGTCGTATTGCTTGAAGCGTAACTCTCAGTGCAACTGTTTTATTTTGGGAGTCCCAATAGCTTTCCCGATCGACTCATTATAAACTCTTATAATACTTATTCACTCAATTATATCAGTAACAAGGAAATAGTGCGAATCGAAAAAATTACCTATCCTATAACAATATTCAAACACTATAATAACACAATACGAGAATAGTCTATAATAATATTTTTTTTTTAATTAATAATAATTGTTTTTAAGTCTAATTAACATTTAAGCGAAGACGGAACTTTCCTAAAATGTTAAAACTGCGAATACCATTTTTCAAATGGCCTAAGAGAAGAAAACCTTTTCGACAGCTGTCATTGTATCTGAACTAAACGCATCTAGACGCGTGAGTAGTGTAGGTACTGTAGGTAGCTATATATCACAATTTTATTTGCTGTCTTGTCGGACGATTGACTTGAATAATGTGTGATTCTTGCTTAATGTATTGTCACAAGCATCTAGTAAACAAATATGTGGCCTAAAGTTTATAATTCGAGTTTTCTTCCCGATAATTTTCCGTATTTTCCGTAAATTGTTCCGATGGTATATATATATATATATATTTTTTAAATATAGTTTTTATTGCCCATGTAGGCAGACGAGCATACGGCCCACCTGATGGTGAATGGTTACCGTCGTCGTCGCCCATGGACTTCAGCAATGTCAGGGGCAGAGCCAAGCCTACCAATTTTTGGAATATTAAATTATAATCGAGAAAGCAGACATTTTCGCCTGGCGTTGGGACATTTAAACTTACATTACAAGTCAACAAAATCTCACATAATCTTTCTTTGAAACACTATTATTTATAATTTTTTTTTTAATAGAAAGCGGTGTTTAATAAAGACGAAATCTCGAAATTTGAAAAGCGTTCAAATTTAAAAAAATGAAGCGATTCATAATCATATTTTATTAAGAATTGTATTATAGTTTTGTTAACGCATTTCTATTTGATGTAAGCTCCATTTTGAACTCAATATGGAACCCAGTTGTCCGAAATGACTAATTTACATTCATTAAATTGGTCAAATTTCATTTCTATGCTAAAGTCACCGTACATTTTTAGACAATACGTATTATTTGTCAGTGTCTAAAACCGATCCCAAACACCTGGATTCCTTATTAGGTTTCCGTGTCAGAAATTCCGTATCGTTACATTATTCACGTCCCGTTATTAAAATTTATGAACGTGTGCTCTGTGTTGAGCATTTTGTTTCATTTTCTGGATTCTAGCGTCCGAACAAGGAATTCCGGATAAGGAAACCGAATCCGGAATTCAGATGTCTGCGGCCTAGACTAACCTTATTTGTCACTATCAATCACGTCACACGTAAATCCTTCGTAAAAGAGAATCATTAAAATGCACTGGTGAATACATTAATAAAATACCTTTGTTTATCATTGTTATCATCATATATTTGGTTAAATATAGTTGTAAGATATTCTTATATCGATACTTAAAGTAGACGAGCTCATATAGCGGCAGTGGCAGAAGGATAAATCTGTCTTTTGGTACCTTTATAGTTAATCTCAAGTATAACAGCGCGATGGCAACCCAATTCTCTCCTGATACCACTATAATGCGACTTACACAAAACACCATATAGCAATGTTTACGTTTATATATTTACTACCCACAACTAGTTAATTTTGTACTTTGAATGTTTTTTAGCTATTATTATTTTAGATTAAAAGACAGAGATAAAATCTAGCTAAAAGTGTAAGACTTTGGTTTCAGTTTCAGAGATATCTATAATCTATTAGCTGCTTTGTAATTATGTATTCGCGGTACATGAAAAACTAATTTTGGGGTGTCTGTTCGTTACGATGTCTTCCATTAAACATTGAATCGTTACGAGTGATCGTACTCAGAGAATGAACGTCTTACCTGCGCCGCGTCTGAACACACACTGCGGTTTGTTCTGTAGCGATTGTCTGATTGTTCTCATTCAAATAAATAAATTAAAAAAATCATTGCCATTCTTAATAAAATTTCCGAGACATTTAAATTAATCTATGCCCTCAAAGGGCCTCTAAATACGCTCGATATTTTTAACTAAAATCCGAGCAATTCGGAATCTCTTTGGTTTTTTAAATTTCTATATATCATAATGTAGCTACATATATTATAAGTTAATATTCTTCGTCTTTCTTCTCGGGCGGCGCGCCATTTTGCGCCAGTTGCTCGTCGTCGTGCTCTATGATGGCCGCGAATGAGAACGGCATGAAAGCGTATCCTTGTCCGTCGTAGAACTTACTCATGAACTCGACCCTGCGGGAACGAGGTTTCTTTCCATTATTTCATAGGTAACAAACGCTGGGCCATGGAATGCCTTTTTTCCATTTTTTTTACTTTTTTTTTATTGCTTAGATGTGTGGATGAGCTCACAGCCCACCCGGTGTTAAGTGGTTACTGGAGCCCATAGGCATCCTCAACGTAAATGCGCCACCCATCTTGAGACATAAGTTCTAAAGTGTCAAGTATAGTTACAACGGCTGCCCCGCCCTTCAAGCCGAAACGCAATACTGCTGCACGGCAGAAATAGGCAGTGTGGTGGTACCTACCCGCACGGACTCACAAGAAGTCCTAGCACCAGTGTGTCAATACTAAAGGAGCTTCATGTTAAGACTAGACTCTCCAGAACATGTATTTATAGAGTATTGGAGTTCTTTGGACACATTGCTCGAAAGGAGGGTCACAATCTTGAGCAGCTGATGGTGACGGGTAAGGTAGAGGGCAAAAGTCACAGAGAAGAAAAGTCACGAGATGCTCGAACCAAATTCGGTCTTGTCTGGACATCAAGCTCCACGATGCAGTCCACGAGTTTAACTATCGCAACAGATGGAGAACAATAGTACGAGAGATTGCTGCAGCGGGCGAGTCACGACCCTTAGTAATGAGGAGAACGACGATAGGAGGAGGAGGAACAAACGCTGTTGAACGTGAATAATGGGCGAACAGAGCTCTGTGTGCTTAGTGCGAGTTTTTTAACGTTTTCGATAGCGTACAGCGCCCCTAGCGGCAAATACAAGCAAACGTTCCAACTCCATACAAATTTGAGTTAACTTTTACGCTATCGAGAACGTTAAAAAACTCGCACTAAGGACACTGATGTTAGTCGTGAATTTATTTTTATGATGCGCGTATTATGGAAGTGTGTGTGTGCTGTGTGTATAGTATTTGTAACGCATTAATTATATCGCACCCGCTTTAAAGGTTTCAGTGAACTCATAAGAGAAATGTGACCGTATTTTTTTGGTAATAAAGAGTAATTTGCACATTTGCCAGTTTCGTTTGTTCCGGAATTGATTTGGTAATTCCGTTTTGATGTAGTTTGAAGATTAAAACAAGGATTAGCTCTCTTTACGCTGGTGAAGTTCGATGTAATCAGTAACTTTGTTAGGCTTTTTTTTTTTTTTTTTTTTTTTTCCTANGTGGACGAGCTCACAGCCCACCTGGTGTTAAGTGGTTACTGGAGCCCATAGACATCTACAACGTAAATGCGCCACACACCTTGAGATATAGTTCTAAGGTCTCAGTATAGTCACAACGGCTGCCCCACCCTTCAAACCGAAACGCATTACTGCTTCACGGCAGAAATAGGCGGGGCGGTGGTACCTACCCGTGCGGACTCACAAGAGGTCCTACCACCAGTAATTACGCAAATTATAATTTTGCGGGTTTGATTTTTATTGCACGATGTTATTCCTTCACCGTAGAAGTCAATCGTGAACATTTGTTGAGTACGTATTTCATTAGAAAAATTGGTACCCGCCAGCGAGATTCGAACACCAGTGCATCGCTCGATACGAATGCACCGGACGTCTTATCCTTAAGGCCACGACGACTTCGCAAGGCTACCAGAGAATAGGGAGGTAAAGATATACAAGGTGCCGACGTGGTCTCATTGGAATCGACGGACACAACTCTCAGTAGTACTCAATGTCCTAACCTACAAGTTGCGCGATAGTTTCGCGACAGATAGGTACAGCAAGGTACAGTAAGGTATACCTGGGGGTACGAGTGCACACAAAACTCACCAATGCAACCGCAGCGTGTGCAGGAAGGCAGACAGTCCTTCCATGAGCACGAGGATGGCGAGCGTGAAGAAGGCCCACACCGCGAACCCCACGTACATGGTGACGGAGCCCGCCAGACTCCTGGCCAGGCCGTAGCGGAGCACCCGCTGCCACAGCACGGCCGACAGCTCTGCAGATGGGACCACTCATTGTTGTAGACGCGGGCAGTAACAGCCTCAGTTGGATTTGGTCATATCGGTCAATTAACGGTACCGGTGTACTGTTAATTTACATATTGGAGTAACTACTGCGAAGGGCAGCTACGTTGCAGTGTCTTTTGAGACAAGGGGCTATGGAGTCGTCTGTACGGCAGTCTCGATATAATCACTTCAGATATTGGTGTATAAAAGTCTGGTTTTAATTGGAAAGTTGGCATTTTCTTTTATCACACCTCACGGCCAGCCATTGAGGCAGAGTCCGACGACCACTTGAAACGACTGGGTTGAGCCGCCATGCCTACGGTCCATGGGATCCTCAACGGTTATCGTAATCAATAATTCCAGAAGTACAGGCTCATATGTAGTACAGCATCATATGAACCAAGATTATTATAGGTTTTTTGTTTGTTCAAAAGACAGTTCATCCGGGCTGGAGTACTCACGTGCGTGCGCGAGGGAGAGGGCCCAGAGGCGCAGGTAGGAGGCGGTGTGCGAGACGGTGCCCAGCACGTACTCTATGGTGTGTATCGCCTGCGTGATCAGCAGCTCCCCCGCCGCCCCCGCACCCCCGCCGCCCCCCGCCGGCACCTCCCCGCGCTCCCCGCCCACCTCGTGGCGCTGCGGGGCACGGAACAACAACTTGTATTAGTATTCATCTTTAAAAATTATTCACGTATGAACTTACTATTCCAAAATTATCAATTATAATTCGAAATAAAGAAGGTAATCAACATAAAAATTCTATTAAATACATGTCTTTGTTTTATCAAAATTTTGTTTTGAAAAGCAAGTTAAGACTAATTTAAAATAAATCTCGCATAAATCTCTCTCATAAATAAATCAATCAAGAGAGACATTTTGGAGCAGTCGCGTATTCCGTGCATTGAAGACTTGCCGGATGACAACTATTACAAAAGCTACGTTAACAAACAACTAGATGGCGCTGTTACAAACAATTTCTAACCAACCTTCTGATTACGGGCTTTCCAGAACAAGAATGCCGGTTTCCCGAATAACATTATCGGAATGCAAAGGAAGCCAAGCGTCAAGAATAACTTCTGCAATGCGTCCTGGCCGTCGAACATCATCGCCTTACACGGAGGGCTGTCCTCAGAGCCCTTCAGCAGCATCATGTTGATGAAGGTTATTAGGACTGATGGGGCACAAGACGTACCGTATGTCGGGTCTGGAAATCATATTAAGTCTATCATAACTGGTCGTGTTATTGTATACTACATACAATTAGCATAAATATATCCAGCTATCACTAAATCGCCTATCGTCCAGAGACGAATGGCATTTGACCCAGAAACACAGTGTGGATGGATGGTCGTGTTATTGTATACTACATAGATTTAGCATGGTCATATCCAGCTATCACCGAATCGCCTATCAGTCCAGAGACGAATGGCATTTGTCACAGAGACACAGTGTGGATGGATGCAGCAGTTCAAGGCATTAAAGAAGAGCCCTGGTCGGACGGCGGGCGGGGTGATGGTGCTAAGTCAGACGAGCAACAACGTACTCTCCCTCCAAGACCACACCATCTTGCCTATCATTCCTGCCGCGAAGCACTCCCGTTTGAAGGGTGGGGCCGTTATCTATACTAATATATAAATATATAAATTTCCGTTGCGGTGTCTACAGACTTGATCAGCACCGGGTAACCCGAGAGCTTGTTTATCCATCAAGACAATAAAAACCCTGATGTGCAACCAGATATCCAGGAAGCGTGTTTACCTGTCGCCGTGGCGGAGTACATGGTCCACTTCATGAACATCAATATACAGAGGTACCAGAACAGCAGCATCAGAAACAGAATCTGCGGCACGTACTGGAGATAAATCATTTCCGGCTTCCTGAAGAAACTGAAACGAAAAACGTCTTTATGACAATGACGTTTAAGGTTTAAATCAGATTAAAATTTTAAATTCTATTTCTATGAATACAGTAATTACTTGAAGTTTACCACACTCATTGTCACACCGAACGCCATGTGCAGTACGCCGAATATAATGGACAGTTTCATTTTGAATGAATTCAAAAATATAATGTTGTTCGTGGCGAACTGAAAACAAAGAAATCAAGTTTAAATATCTTTACTCGGTATCTGGATGTATAATTTATCCACATATTTAACCATGAATAAGCATGTATATCAATCTCTAGTTCTAATAGTCCAGAGAAATCTAGTTAGGGATCACATGACGGCGTGTCATTTGTCAGCAATTATTTTCATTGTGGACCAATCCAGAAGCTAAAATGGCACTAATAACCTCTATTCCTGACAAGAAGCAAGTTCCCGCTAAAACAATATCGCAGCCATTACATATTATTTTTTTTAAATGACCATTTGAAGGCGCATGTAAAAACACACCCGACTACAAAGTTCTACATTTTGTATTCAATGAATCAAGCCTGAGTGGACAGAGACATTAACGGTGCCTCGTAACAAATTTGGTCACTCTAAAGCAAATACTCAATATTTCGCTCAAGAAAATCTCAAGGTAGACATATGTATTCTCGGTGATACCAATGGGCTTCTCTGTAAAGTAATGTAGAGTCACAAACCTGCCATGCCGGGTCCAAGCCGAAAGGATATGGCGTTTGTGTGTAGGCCACAGCCGGATCCAATTCCAACGCTTTATGATTCGCAAGGGTTTCATTATCGTAAACGTTCATCCAACTACTTCCGAACAGATTCAGAGACTTCGAGAACATGTCGTTGTAGATCAAACCGGTATAGACAGAGAATATTCCCATCAGTAAGATAATGTATCGTCCGGCAAAGAAAATGTTCCATATTTCGTTGTCTGATTTATTCTTCGAGAGTCTCTTCTCGTATATAACGATGATCGCAGAAAAGGCCGTCATGATAAGTCCATGGCCTACGTCGCCGAACATGACGGCGAACAGAAACGGGAATGTTATGATTGTGTATAGCGCTGCAAAGAAAAAAACAGCTAAATAAAAAGAGGGATATTGGGAAACCATCATGTGTATATCGATAGCATTTATTTTGGTATTTTGATCAAAAGTAAAGAGGTTCTTTAGAGACAAAATTACTAATTTATTTTGTTTTATTTTTTAAATGGATAACAAACAGACAAGTTGGCGATCCACTAGCCGTTAAGGGACTACCAGTGACTTCACAAAGTGATTGCCGATGTCCATGATATGAAAGTATTCTTTGGTACAAAATCTTTCTTACCCTTAGACTAATACATACTTATACGTGAAGAGGTAAGACAGTAGTATCCATCTATGCATGATTATAATATCCTACCAGCATCAATGCCACAAGGGAATGGAGGAGGATAATATGGATTAGATAAAGGAACACAGCAGCAGCATCAAGTGATAGCCAATACAGCAGATCCCTGTCCATCAAAAGAACAGACAATTGATTTTATCCTTTTAATAAGGGTCCTTTGACCTAATCATATCATTGAAGTGTACACATCATAGATCTAAGCTCAAAATTCAAGTAAATTTTCATTTTAACAATTGAATTGTTTTTAACAATGGTGCCATTACCTGGATTTACTTCTCTGTAGCTGGCGATTCCATAGGAATCAATAAGAGTCTGGAATCCTCTCGTGAATTTGTTGGTTCTGTTAAAAGTGGGTGGTATTTCTCTGGTTGGCACGTGGTGGAGGATGGATGGAATGGGACTGCCACTTGCTTTCTGTAATAGAGGATTATTCATTAGGCCAAAAGGATCTTATGTGGTAATGAGTCATTAATGGGTGGCAAGTACCTAGTCAGCAAGATATGAGCAAGGGACTCCGGCCACCTCGAGCCACCGAAGGTACATCTAAGGCCAATGATTTTATGACTATCATCGTGGTATCTAGTTACCGTTGGATTTTTTTGTAGCAGTTAACTGAGATACGAGCCCACCTGCTTACTGGACCTCATAAGTAGACATCGACAGTGCAAGTTTGTACTCATGCGCGCTCACAATACTAGTGACCTCCGTCTATTAATATAAATTCATATGACATTAAAACCAAATGCAGATAACCTTACGGGATTTTTTTTATTGCCTTTGTAGGCAGACGAGCACTTGATGGTGAGTGGTTACCGTCGCCCATGGACTTCAGCAATGCCAGGGGCAGAGCCAAGCCGCTGCCTACCGCTTAATACTATCCACAAGGCTCGTTTGAAGAAGGACATGTCATAGCGCTCGGGAAACACCGTAATATGAGTTTTCAATTTTAAGAATAATGACTATATTGTGACTATGAACAGCCACTAAACAGAATCCTAGATACGGATTTCTATTTCATTCTGATTCTAGATAGAAACGGATTTCTAGTCTGATAGGATTCTGTAACTAATAGAAGTACAGTTTCTTACCACTCCATCATCCAGAGCTTTCTGGGCAATGTAAAGATCACTTTTTGGAACCCAGCATTCAGCGATGAGGCATTTCTTAATTATGTCCATGCTGAACATGTTGAGCGTGTGGTAGATGGCCTTCTCCTTCCTCACGGCCAGCATCCACGTGCTGATGTCTCCTGCTATATTGGTAAGGACCAACCGTCTGTGCTGTTCTGTCTGGTCTAGTACCTGTGAAGAGCTTAATGTAAAGAGTCTGGGGTATATTCATCTTGAAAAAAAGGAACACAATAATTAGGTGTATTTATCGAATGATCATTTAAAAAACCGTATCAAATGATCATTTAAAAAGACGTAAAATTCCGTTTAGCTAGCTTCATTTGTAAAATAAAATTTTAATTTTTTTATATTTGTCTACCCTCAGTCTATACGAAATGCGTAACTCTTTAAAAAAACGTGAATAAGCTTTCTCACGAGAATGCTTCATAAGCAATCAACTGTGTTCTTGAACCTTGATCTCAATTTTTATTTAAATTAATAGCAATCATCTTAGCAGATGTCTTCAAACGTTTTATTTGGCCGTATAGTGTCATGGAACAGTGGTAAGGTGCACGGGAATCAACTGCCACCAGTAGACCCTCACCTTAAAAATATGTCAACTCCCTTTTTGGTACCTCACTTAGCCCTCACAGCTCACCTCATTTTTGGTACTAAAAAGCGATCAGTGAAAAACGTGAAGTGAGGTCAAATTTGAGGATTAAGAGTTATTGTGAAGGGCTTATTACCTTAGTTCAAGTTAGCAGGATCCGCTCGCTTAACTGTACTTCTTTATAGATAAACAGACAAAAGAATTTTCTGTGAGATTCCCTAGAATGTATTACCCTGGAGGAAACAATTCAGATTCATACCATTTCTAAGTCCTTGATCCTCGTTTCGACTCCAGATAGCATTTCTTGTTGGTCCTTATACGTCGCAGGGCATGGGTACAGAGTGGCCTTGAACCCAAAGCAGACCTTCTTCACTCTCAACTTGATCTGCTCACCGTGGAAGAATACTACGAAGACAGTCTTTTGTAGTTCGTGACCCTGAGTAAATAACAAGTAGTCCTGTGCTTAAATTTCATTAGAACAAACCAACTGTTAAGTCATTGATGCTGTCGATGCGTTGTGATAGGCCTTAAAATCGTGAGCAGCCTATAAGTAAAATTTAATAGGGAATATGGGAAAAGTTTATTGTTTATTGCCTAGATGTGTGGACGAGCTCACAGCTCAGATGATAAGTGGTTATTACTGGAGCTCATACACATCTACAACGTAAATGCTGCCACCCACCTTGATATTATGAGTTCTAAGGTCTTTATAACGGCTGCCGCGCCCTTCAAACCGAAACGCATTACTGCTTCACGGCAGAAATCGGCAGGGTGGTGGTACCTACCTGTGCGGACTCACAAGAGGTCCTACCACCAGTACGATACAATTGTACACAATAAGATATTCAACATTAATATATGTTTAGCTAGCTTGAATAAAATACTTAACATTTAAAAAGCTATATTTTTTAAGCCGCAGTCTAAAGCAAAAACAGCTAGGGCAATGTATCACACGAGGGCGTTGACACCGAGCTTGTACTTATTTTATTTGCATTACAGTGACCGCAGTGAGATCAAGTTGTGACAGTCACTTTACCTATATCAAGCAATGCTTACTATACAGGTGCTTAAATCCCGTAGTCAGCTACCATTTTTAATGAATTATGTACGTTATTTACACATTTTCACGAATTACTTCCACGAAGAAGGAGCAATTTCGCTTAATAAATATGTATTAAACTCGCAATGTTTATAAAATTGGTAAGCACTTGTGGTATTCTAACTATTTCCGCCGACAACAGCTGCTATAGAATAAAATTGAGATTTCTAACTCATATCTCGTTTTGATCACTATGACGATGAAACCTCAACACGACGGTGAGGTGGGAAGTCATTAAGCCATCTATGCAATGAAAAAACATTCTTGAGAAACTATTAGCAATACGCCAACAATAATATTCGTTTTAAAAATTGCTTTCTGTATACTCGTGCCGTTTTACTTTTCTATCGTCTCCGTAGACAGACGAACCTACGGACCGTCTGTTGGTAAATAGTGACCGTCACTAATAGATACCGGCAAAGCCAGGAGTATAGTCAATGGTTGTCTACTGGCCGGCAAACACGTTCAGACTCGAAAAGGCATTATTTAACACGACTATGACAAAGGTTTTGTCGTTATAAATAATAAAACTGAAATTGCAAATGGCACCTATGGTTAAAGTGGTTAAAGGCAATTTTTCTAACATGAACTACGTTCGTGGAAGCTTACTGTAGGAGCAACGCCGACAACATTGTTATTAGTAAAAATATATCTAATAATAAAATGTAATAATAATAATAAACATAAATATTCTTTGGTTTGAGATATTATTAAATTTATTGTTACGGACGTCCGTGACCACGAAAATTGTAAAGTATTTGAAACGACAAAAATAATATAACAAAAATAAAATAATAATAATTAAAAGTAAATCTAATTATGAACTTAACAAGTTAACGTTGGACCATCCTTGAAATAAATAAGTGTAAGGGAGGGGAAAACGCTAGTCCCTGGTCGTCGAACTTCAAATTATCGATTTCCATAGAGGTTTCTTTGAATTTTTCTTTCGTGTACTGTATTTTTATAACCGTCGCTGGGGCGGGAAGCCCGGTGATTACCACCTCGGTTAACGTGGAGTGACTAAACACTCAACGTAAATATCACCGCTTACTGTAATGTAACTCTTAAAGTGGAAATAATAATTGATTTGACTAACCACCCTAATTCCTCCGCGATCAGTTCCTTCTACGCATAAGGAGTAGCAAATTACGGTCATAGCCGAATCAGATCATATCTTGTGCTTTTCAGGATATTATCAAAATAACCCTTCTACTCATATCTGTTCATAAAATATTTATAGCTACTGATATCATGCACCCCACGCTTTGTTTACAATGAAATCATTTTTTCCTACACTATTTTTAATTCAAATTTAGTAAATTTATTTTCTATTTTTTAGTTGGACTTTCTATAAAAGCGTGTTTTGTTAGTTTTTTTAAACTATTATTTGTTTGTCATTTTTTAGTTGAATTTCAAATTATTTTTTTTCAGTTATTTTTTAAATATTGAATTGTCATCGGTCCTTAATAAGTATATCAAATTTCGAGTTAATCCGACGTTTTGAAGGCGGTCAAAACCATGTTCAAAGATTCCTACACACATACGTCTAATAAAAGTGTATTAAAAACACAAAGTAATGTATTGTTTAAGCTACAAACTACGAGGGTCGGTCTTGTGCCTTTTGTACATTACTTGAGCTTGTATTTTTGTGACTCTCGGGTCGTTCAACTCTATTAACTTAGTCACGGAAAGCTATGTTCAGATTCGAATCTGCATGTACTGCCTGAACGGTTAGAGGGCTCTCAGTTGAGATAGTCATTGTTTTGTAAATCTCAATTGATGCAAATAGATGTACTGAGGAATGTTCGAATATTTTTTATAGTCTAGATAAGTTTCTTTGTCACAAAATCTCGGTATGAATACGTTTTCTAGCTATAGTAGCTGACGAGTATTTTTCATATAGATAGAAGGTGAATTTCAAGTTTTTTTATTTATTTATATTTTATTGCTTAAATGTGTGGACGAGCTCATAGCCCATCTGGTGTTAAGTGGTTACTGGAGCCCATTGACATCCACAACGTAAATGCGTCACCCACCTTGAGATATAAGTTCTAAGGTCTCAAGTATAGTTACAACGGCTGCCCCACCCTTCAAACCGAGACGTATTACAGCTTTACGGCAGAAATAGGCAGGGTGGTGGTACCCACCCGCGCGGACTCACAAGAGGTCCTACCACCAGTAATTACGCAAATTATAATTTTGCGGGTTTCATTTTTATTACAAGATGTTATTCCTTCACTGTGGCAGTCAATCGTGAAGATTTGTGGAGTACGTATTTCATTAGAAAAATTGGTACCCGCCTGAGATTCGATAACCGGCGCATCGCTCAACACGAATGCACCGGACGTCTTATCCGTTAGGCCACTCACGTGGTCTGTATATGAGACAAGTACAAATATAACCGGTCTCCGTACATCATTTTCAGCAGAGATCATTCTGGCCACGGAGCATCCGGTTCTGAAATGGATTTTACCTTACCGGTAACAGCATGACAGCCTTTGAAGGTAACAAATAAAAGTTATGAGAAGTAAACTCGATCGTCTGCTTCAGATGTTTGGAATTATTTTCGTAAAACACCCTCATACGTTGGCAATAGCAACATTTCTTTTCAACGTGAATATTTTATTGTTTCGCGAGTAAACGATTGTGTGGTTCTGTTTTCGATGTATTTGATGATAAATCAGCACCCGTGTCGATAGCACAGCTATTTTTGTTCTACTATTAACTAGGTGCGTTCCGCGGCTACGTCCGCCACAGGAATCATTAGCTTAACTTGATTGGGTCCACGTGGAAAGGTGGGTGGGTAGGCCTCGCACAAGATGGATAGACAATCTATTGAGGTTCGCGGGAATCCGCTGGATGCAGGCAGCGCAGGACCGGTCTTTGTGACGTGGCTTGGGTTAGGCCTATGTCCAGCAGTGGACGTCTGTGGGCTGATAAGAAGAAGAAGAAGAAGATTGGGTCCACGAGCGTGGTAAAGGACTGCCAGTAAAACTGCTTGAAGGAGCAAAACAACAGTCACATAACCTCACTGGTCTATTGGTCCACTGACCAATGCTACCACGGAGTTCGAGTTCGATCCCCAGTCGGAGTGATTGTCTGTGAGACAGTTCCGCAGTTACAACCGGAACAAATGGATTTTAGCTGCAAAATATACAAGTTGAGAGCACCCGTACGGGCTCACAATACATCATAACAATGTCTCCGTAGCTGTTAACTGTAACGAAAATAGTAAAACTATCTAGTCCGTGCTTCCAATTTTCTGATTTGTAAAAAACTTAGTAAAAGTTTTATTATCTCTAGCTGGAAGTATGGCGATTCTTTTAAGCATGACGAATACCTAAATCTCATATAAAATACTTAAATGTTTAATAGCGTTTAAGATTTCTTCTATAAAATCAAAGTGCGCTTGGTGCGGGTACTGGTCTTTCCCATATTCCTCTATGGAGCGGAGACATGGTGCATGAAAGCCCACGATAGCAAAAGATCGATGCCTTTGAAATGTGGGTGTGGCGGAGGATGCTACTATACCATACCGTGGACTGCCATGAGAACTAACAAGTCCATTCTAATAGAGCTAAACACCCGAAAAGGCTTTCTGCCATTTGCCGGGAACGTGTTATGAGCTTCTTCGGTCACATCATCCGGTCTCCCATTCATGAATTAGAGAAGCTCATAACTTCGGGTCGCATAGAGGGCAAGCGCGCCGTGGACAGAACACCAGCCAGATGGTCAGATCTGGTAAAGGAAGCGGTTGGTGGTAGTCTATACCATTCGGTCTATGCTACCCATGATCGAACACTGTGGAGGAAAGTCACATGCGGTCGCGATCCTCAGCAGTGAGGGAACGATGAAGAAGACGAAGAAGCTTTGTAAACTTTACGAAGTGAACCTATGATTCATTGATATAAAACATTTTAGTAAACGTCTAGACTCGAATTCCCGACTCATCGAATGCGAGTCGGTCGCGTTAGTGACACATTCTACGCCGAGCCGACATCTCTTAAGCGTGTCATAACACAAACCGGCAGACAATTTCGCTGTGTCCGAGAATAGCTGACTATCCGTTCCCAATGCTCCAATTTAACTGCCATTCGAAATAAAAATATTTTACAGGCTATCCACAATAGTTTTAGTCACCTTGAGATGTTGTTTTATTGTTTTCACACGTCGTAGTCGATTTATTAAAGATTTTTTGAAAAACCTATTTATTGATGTAGGCGCGCGTGGGAACTCATTGACCATTTGATGTTAGAGGAAGCGCAGGTGACGATAAATTTGATGATAATGATAAAACCTATTTAAGTGGGACTAGCGTTTGTCTAATGATCAAACACGATTATTCACTCAAGATTCTGATTCAGTTTTCCTCCCAGTTCCCTCCTTCGAAATTGGAATGTTTTTTTTTGTACCTTACAAAATATACGAAGAAGAGATTTAAACGAGTAAAGATTTAAAAGTTGAAGGTATTCATGAGTTTTCTTTCGACAAAGAAAATAAAACGAAAGTATTATTGTAATAAGCCTAAAGATTATATTTAAAGGAAATGAAGTTTATAGTTAACGACCAAAGGAAGTTTTTGGACCAAATGGATGTAGTTGGTCGATAGACCGACGGTCTAGAGTTGTTATTGGGAACTTACGACACATGCTAATTGTCGTTGCAGATATCGTTAGCGCGATTCAGGTTTTTACCGGAAATTTCTAGGAACTTTTTTTAGGGAAACAGGTTCTTGTTTTCTTTCATAAATAGCGAATGTCATCTTTATTGTTATAGGTTAAGTTAAGTCTGAATGCTTTTCTTTTATTTGGTAATTAATTATGTTTGTGAGATTCTTGAAATATACGAAGATCTAGTTAATTTTCATAATTTTAGTCTGTCCGTTAATTTACAACGATTTATAGAAAAACGCGACTGAGAGCCAGTTCCGGTAGTCCTATTTTTTTTAATTGCCCTTGTAGGCAGACCAACATACGGCCCACCTGATGATGAGTGTTTACCGTCGCCCATGGACTTCAGTAATGCCAGGGGCAGAGCCAAGCCGCTGCCTACCGCTTAATACCACACATCTCCACAAGCCTCGTTTGAAGAAAGACATGTCATAACGCTCGGGAAACACCGTTAGGAGAAGCGATAAAACAAAGATGTCACTTACCGTGATGGGATCTTTTAGAGGCTGATCGATCTGTGCCTGTTTGAAGAATATGTTCCCGTGCGATATCCTCCATAGCATCCTCTCAAACGACGGCACCCTGGAAGTGGCCACTGTCCCCGCGATGAAGCCGAGGTGCCCGAAAACAGCGTCATTGTTGTAAATCTGAACGGTGGCCGACAGTTTCCTCTGAGCGCTGTGATCTTGGAAGAAGGTCTGTGTTTTCTCTATAAGAAGTTTCAGCTCTATCAAGGAGAGGTAGTCGCTTTTGAGATTTCGAGCGTTCTTTGTCATCTCTTGGATTTCTGATTCGATGTAATCAATTTTTTCCTGTTGAAAATAATTTTGAATGAGAAAGAAAATCTTTTTTGATTTCCCAGTTGGGTGAAATAGTTCACGGCCCAAACGGTTATTCTTATAAATTACTGCGTGCTGCCACTCACCTTGAGGCATGAGGTTGGAGTCTCATTAACATTGTACAGCTGTTATCCAAGCCGGAACGTTTTATTACAGATATAGGCGATCCCTACCGCGCGGTCTTAAAGCTTGTTCAGCAAATTTATAAATTTTTTATGGTTTGATTTACGTATATGACGACCGTCTGGTGTAGTGGTAAGTGACATGGTCACTACACAAGGGGGTCGCGGGTTCGAATCCCGCCAAGGGAAGATATTTGTTCTTTACGAAGTAGAAGATATTAGTTCTTTACGAACTTATCATGGGACCAGTTAACGTGGCGTGATTGTTAGTAAATATTTATTATTTATTATTATTATTATATCATTTTATTCCTTCATCGTGGAAGTCATTCGTCAATAAGCATCTGCTTATTTATTTAAAACATTGTTACTGGCTTGCGAGCTTTGAACACCGATATAGTCGTGTTGCTTGATAAGAGTACTTCAAGCCTCTTTAGGCCAAGACGACTTCAAATTGCTTATTTTTGTAGCAATAACATTTTTCGTTTTTAAGTTGTTGGATTGTTGATATCACGTCTCGGGCAAGAAATTAAATTTAAAGAAAGAAAGAAAATTTCTTCATCGTGAAAATGATTCATCTCACGCAAACAAAATTTGTTTTTGATTCCAAGAATTAAACTATTATATTATTATAGGTAAATGACTAGATACGAGAACACCTCTATTGTACTAATAAAAAAAACACGGGGCATCAGGTCACGGATGTTTCAATTAAGGCACGGACGCTTTGCCATATCAAATAGTTTTGAATTGCTCTAAATTGACATTTTGCACGTTGACACTAGGAACGGGAGCGTTTCCTGCTATATTTTAGTCTCTGGCATTATCTATGACCGTCAACTATATTCCAGCATGCTACCAACGGACTTCTTCTATTTTCTTCCACAGTACAACAATAAATAAATGATTCAGATTCGTTTGAAACAAGCTAGAACTTTCTGCCGCCATGGTTTGAAGTCTTTAGCAAGGTAACTGACTCCATCTTAGAATAATAACTGAGCTCCATAAAACCGAAGATATTGTCACTAATTGAAACACATCAACATGTACCAATTTTCCTAATAAACATGTATTGTATACTCATGTTCACGAATGATTTCCGCGATGAAGGAATAACGTCGTGTAAATAAAATCAAATTAGCAAAAAAAATGATTTTGCTACGGTAGCCGCTTAACAACAAGAGGACCGCGAGTTCGTTCACTCTGCTAGGCAGTAAAAATAAAACAAAAATACTTTAGAAGGATGACAGTATTCGTTTGCGGATTGCATCGGGTACCCTAACTCTCTGATAAATAACAAAATCGATGTCGGTAAGATCCTTGGCCCCGAAACTGGATTGCCCACGAGAGCCAGAGGTTTTGCAAATACGCGTTTATTTTAATTGAATATGCAATTTCGAAAAGGGCACATCTCTGAAAATTTAAAATTTTCACGAAATGAAAAAAACTGATTATTTTCTAAACTTATTTTAAAAATTATTTTCAGTGTAAAATTTAAAATATTTACTTTTGCGATATATTTTAGTGTTAATTAGCAATTGAAAATTACTGGAATTATTATAAGATGGGTGTAGGTAAGCCTCAAAACTACATGTATATGAAAAAACGTATTTGACAAAATATGCGACATGTGCCCTTTTCGAAATTGCATATTCAATTAAGCCGATGCATTCCAGTTCATTTATTTCGAACGAGCGTCTTATTAGTGTGTGAGTGTTATGAAATAGTTTCCACGGATACGAATTGGGTTTGTGTGCATTACTCAAATTTTACGTCTGACATTGCATTGTTTTTATTGTTGTTGCTGTACGTTGTTGTTGACGTAAAGGTTTGTACGTAATATTTATGTGTGTTGTTTTACTTTTTGATGTGAAACGACGTACGCACGTAAAACCGATTTCTGGCGTGGCGACGCATGCCGTGGCGACGCGTCGCCACGCTATATGATAGTATATATATACAGTCTATATCTAGTAGTGTGTACGGTGTGGCGACGCGCAATCGACTGTGCGATTCTCTCTGTGTTTTACTTGAAAACAAATAATTTTTTCCTAATATTTTATTGTTACCGAGTCCTGGCAACCCCCGACCGAGAGCCAGCGCTAAAACTATAAAAACGATCCCTCGCTGCGCCTTTGCCTCGCGCAATGTCATCGCTGCCAGGCCTTTGGTCATGCCTCCACCAATTGCCACCGAGCGGTCCGCTGCGTTCGATGTGCGGGTGATCACATCGTGGCGGACTGCCCGAGGCCTCGGGACGGGCCCTTCACCTGCGCCAACTGTGGGAAGGACCATGCCGCCGTTGACAAACGATGTGCGGTCTACCGCAGGAAGGCGCGGANAAAAAACAAAAAAAAAAAAAAATATGGAGGAGAGCAGCAGCCGCCCCCGGAAGAAGGGAAGAATGAAGAAAGAAGAGGAAGAAGAAGAAGAAGAGGAAGAAAGAAGCGAAGAGAGAAGAAAGAAGTCGTCCCACCAATCACTACGATCCTGCTACATACCATCCCGCAGCGCATCACCCCTGCCTCATTAGGCAGGGAGTCACAAGTCCGGGCAGAGGGGTTTCCCCGAGGCCCGCTCCGCGCCCCCGCAAGGGAACGCGACGACCCCACGACGCCTTTGCCTCTCTTTTTTGTGCGTGGCGTTCGTGCGTGGCGGTTCTTGTCGAGACTTGTGTAATTTTAAGTTTTGTTAACAGTAGATTAAAGTCATTTTGTTAGTTTTCGCTATTTACCTACTAAAATATATTGTGTTCTAGTTCTATGTAATTTCTCTGTTTTTTTTAACTTCCTCACTTCTGGTCGATAATATTATTTTATCATTATGACATATTTAGTTCCTATCACAATCTGTTCTTTTCTGCATATTACTTTTACAAAATAATGTCGATGTTTCACATCTGCCAGGCGTCCCGTGACGGCTCACATTTTTTGTGTAACATCTTAGTACCTAGTCTAAATGTTTACATCAAGGTAATCGAACACTAAATACTAAACAGGCCGATGTCTATAATTATTAGAGTCAACTTTCATTAATCGACTTGGATGATTGAAATATAAATTAGACCATCATCAGTCGAAGACTAGTCTCTACCGAAAGACATGATTCTTCCAAAGATTCGCTACAAAGATCGGTCCTACGCTGGCCGTAACCAATGTTTATCGACTCTCACCAGGCCGTATTAACTATATCCACATATTAAATAATATTGTTACGTCGGTAAGAGTAATGCCATTTATCACCGAATAGTCGAACGAATATCGAATGATCTAGTAGGACGTAAAACACTCGAGAAGTACAACGCCATCTATTGTCAGATAGCGGAAACGCAATACTGGACTTGTGTGGAATATTCTCGATAATTCTAGGAATGTGGTATCAGCTGTAAAAGGGATGCGGAGATGGCTTATAATCAGATAGTAATCGAAACTACTCGAAGCGAAACAGCGAACGGATCACCTGAAGCGAAGCGGAAGAAGCGAATTAAGAATTTTAAAGTGTTCTAAGTGTTGAATACAGTTTTTGAATACAATTTGTACTTCGGTAGAATTTTATTTATCCCGACACCCAGCGCGTTATACTATTAAAACAAACCTAAGTGATGTTAATTAAAGCAAATGAGTACATATTATGAAAAATAAAAGGAATTTTTAGTTTATGTTTCGCAGACTCCGCGCCGGGTACAGTTTTAATTGGCACGAGCTACCCAAGCTGACGGTCATCTAAATTACTTTAATTAATATTTGTTGACAGAACGTACGTAAAGTCGGGTACAGCAATGAGAGTTTTCTATATGAACATTTAGTATCAGAAGTAGTTCAAATTATATATTTATATATTAAAGTAGATTTGTGACGTCAGTTTAAATCTCTTTGAATATTTATTCTTTTTAATTTTAGAACGAATCGAGCAAGAAAGGTACAAAAATATTATACGATAGGGAAGTCGCTTTCTCTGTTCCTATATCCCTACGTATGCTTAAATCTTTAAAACTACGCAACGGATTTTGATGCGGTTTTTTTAATAGATAGAGTGATTGAAGAGGAAGGTTTATATGTATAATAACATTCATTAAATAGTGGAGAAATCAATAATAAATGACAGTTTCCGAACCGAAGCGAGGGCGGGTCGCTAGTATGAAATAAACTCGGTGTCTCGCATTCATTCGCCGTCTTTCTTACTTCCTAACATGAAATCTCCTATCTCTCTTACTCAGTTATGCTCCATATCTATCATTCATCCATATCGCTCCGTTCCGTTTCCACATGTACGCTACCTACCTCTAGCATATTGATCTCTCGTGGACTGAGCATCCGTCGCGAGGGTATGGGCGGAGGAGGAGGCTCCGGTAGCTCTCCGCTCACCCATCGCAGCTTGCGTTCCATCTCGCTGCAGCGACGAACTTCACTTACGTATCTTCTTTGGAAGTCATTTACGTGTGGATTCAACTGGAAAGGAAATTGGAAAATCAATTGAGGCTGAAGATAAAAACCCAACTATGAATATCATGATGTTCACGCCGAAGTGCATTTTCATTCCACGATCGAGACGAGAAAGAACGTGTAAAGTCCCAAACATTAGGGGGATAATTTTTAATCGATATTTTTCATTTGTAAATGCTTTTTTTATTTTTTTATTGCTTACATGGGTGGACGAGCTCACAGCCCACCTGGTGTCAAGTGGTTACTGGAGCCCATAGACATCTACAACGTAAATGCGCCACCCACGTTGAGATATAAGTTCGAAGATCTCAGTATAGTTACAACGGCTGCCCCACCCTTTAAATCGAAACGCATTACTGCTTCACGGCAGAAATAGGCAGAGCGATAGTACCTACCCGTGAGGACTGACAAGCGGTCCTACCACCAGTAAAGTGAGGTTGAAGATAAAGACCCAATTATGAACTATCATGATGTTCACGCCGAAGTGCATTTTCGTTTCACGGCTGAGACGAGAACGAAGGTGTAAAGTCTTAAACATTATAGATAATTTTTAATAGATTTCTTTTCATTTGTAAATGCTTATCGAAGGTTTACGTCATGATTAGTTTAACTGTCTTAAACTCTATTGATAAAGCCTCAACAGCTTCAATATCTGTATTGAGAACTAAATAAAACGAATTTCAGTAATTTTGTTTTCTTACATACGGGTTTTTAGGTGAACAGTGAGTGACATGTTTCAGTTCGGAGGTGGAGCCATTATTAAATACTAGTGGTCCCGCAGTAGTCGAAATTCAACTACAATTAATTAAAATTATAAGTTTGAACATTATTAAGGTTCTATTTTCAAAGACCACTACACTTCTTTATTCACAGATTTCATCAAGACCACACTATAGACAAATAATATTAAAAATAAACAATATTAATCTATTCTCAATTTGACCACAGACTTTAAGCAATAACAATAGTTTGACAATAAACAAAGTGTATAATATAATTATATGTGTGTGTGTCAAATACATGGTCGATGTGTTATGTTTTTTTTATTGATTTAATGTATTAATAATGCATAATTTGAAAAAAAAATTGCTGCACTCCTTCTTTGTATTCTCTACTGTGGGAAATTTAATACTCTTCCGTAAGCGCAATTTTCGTAAAAAAGTTATAAAGTTTTTGCTCCACGTATTAATTTATAGATATGACTGAGATCAACATCTTTTCTCAATCTGGGTGGCGGCATTTACGTGACTATGATTGATTAGATCATGATAAGGTTTCCGGTAAGCATTGGACATCGGATGGAATGTTGGCTCTATAGCCCTCTAAATGTGTCTGACATTCTGAGAGTCTGTGATATAATTTAAAGATCTTGGTAGCAGTCCTATCTTTAAATCGCAGAGCACAGGCAGTTATGAAATATGAATATACTAACACACTTTTATAAATTAGAATTAATGTTGGCGAGGAGTAGGAGGCAAGCAGTGGTGTACAAAGAAATTATTGTTTTATTTTTCCTTTCAAATTATATTAGTAATAACGGCCGTGACAATATATAGGTACACAGGTGTTGTGCGTAAGGTTGCTGCGAGAGAAGTGTCGGTGCGGTTGCAGTAGTGTTCGTTGACCGATTTCTTTTTTTTTGTAGTTTTGTGCGCATAGACATTAATTACGCGGATGTTTTAGAGTTTTTTTTATCGAAATCACAGTTTTGTTATTTTGTTATACTTCACGAACCGACTTATATTTTTTCACTTAGACAAGACACCTATTGTCACTGCTGTCTATGTATATGTTTTATTTTTATTTTTTATAAGGAATTTCTATATCTATAAACTCCAATAGTCTGTAGCTCTCGGGACGACAACTAAATGGAGTGGAGCCTAACTAAGTAACTAAATTTTGAGAATATTGTTCGGACTGACTTAAAAATTTGCGAATTTCTTGAAAGTGCTAAATTTTAACCAGCGCCCTCTTAAAAAAAAAAGTATACTTCGCGTTTTTGTGGATTAAAAGTTACGTGTTAATATCCTAAAGAATTATATTATAGCGGTGGTGAACTGACATGTGTTTGAAAATAATAAATAAAAATTTCTTCGAAGAATAAATTGCAAAAAGGAAAACAACAGAAAAGTAATAAACACGTCGAATCTCTAAAGAAGTTACTACCAAACTGTACGCCAATTGATGCAATTGATGTCTGCATTACGAATAATATCTTGTGGCTTTCTGGTTATTGTAAGTTGAAAATGCAAAGTCTAATATTACTAATAAGCGTATGGCGTTAGCCATATCTTCCCACATCTCTCTGTCTTCACGCTCAGTGGTATAGGTTATGGGTAAGGGGCCAATTCTTAAAAAAAATTCTGTCAATTTTAATAAATAATAAATAAATAATAAATAAATATTTACTAACAATCACTCCACGTTAACTGGTCCCGTGGTAAGTTCGTAAAGAACTTGTGTTACAGGTACCAGATAACGGAAATAAATGTAATGTTTTTATATTATACACATACATATATTTAATGTACATTCATAACCCTGGAAAAGACATTTTTATATTTATCATACAAATATCTTCTCTTGGCGGGATTCGAACCCGCGACCCCCTTGTGTAGTGACCATGTCACTTACCACTACACCAGACGGCCGTTTAATGTCCTTGGATTATAATTCGCGAAGACACAGCATTCTATTTAGCTATGTCCTATGTGGAATTTTAGTTATGTTCTAGCAATTAGTTCTCCTTTTTTTAGCTATTTTGATAGCCATTTGAGGCTATATTAGCGTTTCCCTAGCGTATAGGTGAGCTCTCGGGGCTCAAACTGGCGGTGTTTCTGACACTGGCCCTAGCAAAAGCAGTGCTTCGCAGAATCTACCACGGGATCGGAAACGCGACCCACTGAGAAGTTCCGGTAAGAAACTCAGTGGTCTGTGTCTGTGGGTTAATTCTCAATCGTCTTCTAGAATATTCTAGATCAGGGTCTATCTACGTCAATGAAGATTATTAAAGTGTAGTAACGTAATGTAATCATTCCTGCGTTCTTGTTATTGCACACTTACACGATGGCATTTCGTTTTTTATGAAGCGCCGCGCCCTGTCCATCTTACCCCTGTCTGTTTTATTGATCATCTCAATTTTATTCGAACGATATCGGGCGACACTTGACATTTCCGTGACATTTGAAACGTCATCTTGTTAGAAATTGATCCCGTTTTTATTTGCTAGGTACTCAATTTTACTGAGCAGCAAATAAAATATGCGATCATACAATAGATGCAACATGCGGAGTAATAAGTTATGAGAGAAATGCGTTAAGATGCTTGATTACATTAACTCTTTTATGCGCTTTTTTATGGTATATATACATCTTCTATTTAGGCGCTAAAGGATTATTAAGCTCGGTAACAAATCGCAAACGGACTACTATAGTTATGAAATGAGATAATCAACAGTATCGCTAAAAAATTTTTCGAGCTCACAGCCCACCTGGTGTTATGTGGTTACTGGAGCCCATAGACATCCACAACGTAAATGCGCCACCCACCTCGAGATATAAGTTCTAAGATCTCAATATAGTTACAACGGCTACCCCACCCTTCGAACCGAAACGCATTACTTACTGCTTCACGGCGGAAATAGGCGGGAATAAAGAACGGAAATAAAGTAGGTTTTGTTCCTGTCCATATGCTGTTTGGGCGACACCTCTAATGCGTTCCGCCGTCTTTTATCGAATTTGAAATTACACCTCAATGATTGTAAAAGTACGTTATGCCCAATAACATAGATCTGGGCAGCCCTAATTTTTAAAAATTACCGCCCAGTTCTTAAGTCTCAAGTCATTTATGTCCAAAGTAAATCTAGTGCTAGCCGTATATCATAAGCTAATAAAACGTTGATAAGCATCATAATATGACATGAAATTGAAACTATTTGTATATACACAAGATTATTTTCCTTTTCTCATTAGAATGATTCAGTATTTTCTAGATTTCAAAGAAAAATATTGATCGATTCATTGTAATTTAATTAATAATCTTTGTTTTCTTGTTGACCTCCGATTGCCTAATGACAATGACAATGAGTGTGTGTTACGCTTATTGTTGTTGTTGACAATAACCGTTAACCATTCCAAAGCTTCAAATTACGACGACCTAACAAATAAACAATTCTTTTCCTTTTCGTACACTCTTGACAGAGTGGTCGTGGTCATGCATCAGTCGGATCCTGCGATACCGATGCTCTCGCGATGCGACGCCATGTGGCACGATGTTTCGCAGAGTGAGAGCAAACATTTATGTTGGAGTGAGTAACAGATTTTATGAGGTCGGTCCATCGTGTTGGAGATCGTCCGCGAGATCTTTTGCCCTCGACTTTCCCNGATCCTGCGATACCGATGCTCTCGCGATGCGACGCCATGTGGCACGATGTTTCGCAGAGTGAGAGCAAACATTTATGTTGGAGTGAGTAACAGATTTTATGAGGTCGGTCCATCGTGTTGGAGATCGTCCGCGAGATCTTTTGCCCTCGACTTTCCCTTGCACCACCAACCGCTCAATGGAGTCCTCATTACGAGTGATGTGCCCGAGAGATGTGAGAACTTGAGGATTCGTAATTGGACTGTTGACGATAGTCTCTCCTTGATGTTGAGCTCTTTCAGGATCGAAATGTTGGTACGGTGCGCGGTCCACGGAATTCTGAGGAGACGTCAAGTCTCCTGAGGAGACGTCTGAGGAGACGTCAGAGAAATAAACAATAGCAGTGTTTTATTGAGACGAAAACTGGAGCCATTTTGGTATTTTTTTACTGGTGGAGACCAAATCTCAAACGCTCCACCTACTGATTCACGGTCATCGGCGTTCATGGACATCAGCACAGACAGATGACCCCCGGAATGGCTGTAAAATTTATCTCCTAGCATTGCCGTAAAATCCTTGCCAGAGGTGTTTTGGGGAGGGATAATTAAAGATTAGAAGTATACTGTTAAGAACCTTACAGGTTTAAC